AAAAAACGTGATGGTTTATTCAATAAGAATTATTATTATTTTTTTTTTTTTGTTAAATGGATTTTTTCTTTCCTTTTTTTTGTGGCACTTAACAGTGTATTTTTTGTGGTTTCAGAGATTGGTCCAACTAACGAATGCTTTTTCGAAGGAATTCCGTCCAAAAGGTATTTTTGTGAAGCATTCAAATTTCTGTTAATATTGGCACTTCAGGATTTTTTTACCTTTTTTTTCTTTCTTTTTCTCTTTTCACCTCTTTATTATCACTTTAGATGACGAGCGAAAAAGAGAAAATGAAAACCGCACAAATGCATCAAACTTTTCTTTTCCTTGTTTCTTTTTCTCTTTTCTTTTTTTTTTTGTTTTTTTTTTCTGGAAAATGTATTTTGTGCGAAGCAAAAAAAAAACGATCAAAACGGAAAAAAACTGACTAAAAAATTGTTTACATAAACTGCTGATTTGGTTTTTTTTTGGTGGGGGTAAAGGAGAAAGAGGTCGCTTGTTTTATATGTTCCTCCTTGAATATATAAAAAGTTTATATACCCAATGCAAATTTGTTGTTGATTCAAACAAAAAAAATTGAAACTTTTTCTTTTAAACATACTGAGTACACAGTGTTCATGATATTTCATTTTTTTTGTAAGTTATTGACAGATAGTTTTTATGGTCTTTTTTGCCACGAGAAATGATCCCAAAGACTAGGAGTTTAAAAAACAAACAATTGGCTGGTATTGTTCATATTCAGCTAATATGAGGTGATGGTTGGGAAGGGACCGAGGTGAGCGATTGAGACCGCAGAGGATCAGAGTAAACAGAACTAAAAGATTTACGGTAAAACAGTCACGAATACATGGAGAGCAGTTAAAGTTGCTGTTTTTCTTTTTTTTCAGTGATTTGCATATGCTCTTCAAGGGGTTTTGATATTACCCTAGAATCTGCGGAGCCTTTTTTTGGTACCATACATCCTGTAAACAGAACCGGATGCCGTATTAATGGAGTTGGTAAAAATCGGACCAATTACCTAATACCATTTTCGAGCGCAGATTTTTGCAATGTTCGCTACGACTCTGTGAGTTTCGATTTTGTATTATCACCGAACACTAACATATATCAATCTTTATACCCTTATAAGTGCAAAAAAAGAAAATTTTTGAACAAATTGTATTGGAAATGATGATTCTTTATAAATGCGAAGATGGGAAGATAAGTTCACATTTTTACTTTCGAATTCCCTCAGAAGAATTAATTTTGCAAAAAAAATAATGCAACTTTAAGTGGCATTTAAAATAAAGTGCGCCACACTTTTAGGGTACGAATATTTATACAGTTAAAATTGAAGTAAACGAGCACCAAGTTCTGGTTTTACAAAGAGATCGAACATTTGAGTTCTCCTGCGAAGGCCCAAGCTCTTCCAAGGCTTCAACTCTACCTGAACAAATGCTGTTGGTATTTTTTGAATATAAGCTTTTTTGTTCATTTCGTTTTATGAATTTTGAACAACATTGACCGAAACTGTAGATCACGATGATATGTTTAGCAACCAAAAAACAAAAAGAATGCAGAAACCGACACTCTACTTCTATGATGGTCAACAAAAAGTTACTGAAGTAATCTATGGTAACCCATATAGTTTACGAGTATCATTTCTGGAGCCTTCAGAGAACTTCAGCGCTGAGCCAGTCTTCATAACAAACTGCTTTGCATCAGATGATTTAAATACCAGCGTTCAGGTAATATCTTCAATAAGCACTTTTTTATGTACTTAGTAAATATTTGTAGAGTATTAGTTAAGAACCGTTTCTAAATTAAACCATTAGATATAATTGGATCACAGATTTGTGATGTTTTACATTTAAGGCTAAAATATAATCTAGCAGTAGGTTAGCCGAAAATTAGTATGTGGCTTTGCAACCAATTAATTTCTGCTCGATTTATACGGATAAGATAATGTAATTGGATATTTTCCAGAAAGGCTGCTTAAAATACTCTTTTTTGACGTTATTCTACTTTATGCGACATCATTTTGATGACGTTTGCAGATAATTGATGATGCTGGTTGCTCAACAAACTGTAATCTCATTGAGGAATTCAATTATCATCAAAATATGACCGCTGAAGCAGCAATACCAAGCATGTTTCGATTTCCAAAGACAGTGAAGCTAGCAATTACATGCGATGTGCATAGCAGATTACGAATTCCCGAGTGTCAGGTATGACAATGATGACGATGAGCAGATAAAACTGGAACGAACAGCGTTTAAATTTGGTGATAGTCAAGGAGGAAGAAATAATAAAAGAAAAAAAGAAACAGAAATTTTTGGCTAACAACGCGATTTGTTTTAAGTACAATTGATCTTTTTTTAAAAAAAAAAATAAACAAATAAAATTGTACTCCGTAATATGTGAGCAAAATAGAAATGTTAAATTTTAGTCACGATGCGTTGATCAGTTACGTACATCGACTGTTCCTAACATTTTCAACAACGACACAGATCTAATTGAAGATATCCTACAGATACGGCCAAATAATATGGCCTCAGAAACTCAGGGAAGACGAATTAGTTGTGTTGTTGATGTAATTACTCCAGATCGGGTCTTAAAATCAGCTGCTAATGACGGCAAGTAATTTAGCTTTGAATAGTGCATTTTGCATATTTCTCTTTTTATTACGATTTTTTGAACATGCTTTTTTTTCTTGTTATTCTGCAAACCTGTTACCTCCAACTGTATACCGTTGTAAAACCCTAAAGACTTTACGTTTTAATCTCAGATTAAAAGTTGCAACTTATTTATACTTGGAAGAAAGGGATTAAGCAACATTAGTGGGCGCTAGTTATACGACAGTCTAATAGCTGCTAAAAAATGCAGCACAAATACAATACAGAAAATTTATATTGCAAAATATTTTTTTTATAGCATATTCAAAAACCTATTAATAATAGCAGTAACAGTAATTGGGTTTGAGTAGTGCTATTATCTGTTTGTGTTTATTGAGTGAAAACAGCCATATTTTTGTAACAATTTTTAAACATTATAATATGGTGCCCAATTGTCAGTTTAAATTAGCACACTTTTTTGAAGTGTTATCATTAAGCCGAGAAAAATAATTTGGCTATTTTTTTCCAAAAGTAATAAGATTTTTGAATGCAGTAATGTCTAAAGCTGTTTTGGTTTTTAAAAAATTATTAATGGCTAAACAATAACTTTTTGAAATGTAAAAAAAAGGAACAAGCAACTATAGTTAAACAAATAGTTTACTGCTACTTAAGAGGATAGACCATTCAGTTGCAATAGTACTTGTAATCATAATTTAGCTTTATAGCAACGAGTGGTTTTTTTCTGAAGCTATTTGCTGTAAAATGACAAGAAGCAAAAAGTTTGATGACACAATGGAACAGTTAGTTGCTGTCAACTGATAGTCTTAGATAGTTCTGCTTCAAAAAACTGGTGTGGTTAATCTGCTCAAATAAGTACCATTAAACAAAGCATTAATAGTTCAAGTACATAAAGTGTGAACTTAGTTTCGTGGTATATATTCTATTCGTGTAAAACTTATGTTTTACCGCGTCCAACGAAGTGTACCATTAGTTAATCTTAGTCATTACTGTTCTGGTAATAATTTGTATATTGGCCTGGCAGCATTAAAAACAGTCGTCAACGGTCTGAGATGGTTTCAGAAGGTTAATAAAAATAAAGTTTTTTTGATACATATGAATTTATCGAATTGCTGATTAATTTCATATTTTAGCACTGTCATCAGAGGTAACCTGTACGACAAGCAATGAATTTTCGGTTTTACGCAACCTCTGCATTGTACTCTGTGCGACATTTCTCGCTGGTTGCTCAATAAATGTTGTATTTTGCTGTATGTATTTGACGAGAAGAAGTGGTAATTGCAAATGCTCAAAACGTGAAACTAAAGCAAAAAAGAAGGCTGATGAACAGCAAGGAAATTGCGATTTTTGGATTAAAGAAAAGTCACTACCAAGAAGTAAGTGAAAATGACTACTGAATTGCTGCTGATAAAAGTTCAGCTATCAGTTATTCGTTGTCTTCTGACAGCTAAATACAGATTTTTGGTTTGATTAATGGAGGAAAAAACAGTTTAGATCTTTTTTTTTAAACACTCGTAGTAACCTTTTTGGTCCTTACAGTTTTCGTTTTTAAATTATTTTTTTTATTTATTAATATGCGGATGCTGTAAGATTTTGTTTAGGAAACATTTATTCTGTTCAATTTTTATCTCCTTCTAAACCTGAATGGTGAAACTTCAGAAAGGTTATTTAGGCTAAGAAACAAAATTTAAGCGTCTTTTATAGTTTAAAAATTCATGTGAACCGGTAAAGTAAACAAGTTGAATATTTATTCCAGTAAAAATGCAACTTTTAAGCAAAAGCTACCAAAAACCATTTGTTTAATCTTTAAAATTTTTTGTCTATTCTTTTTTATACATTTTATCGGAAACTTAATGTTTTGTTGCTGTTGAAGGTAACGCTTGTGTTGACATTGGTGATACTTTTGATTGGAACGATAAGCCGTTACCGAGACCGATGTCTGTTAAGTCGTATGCTACAGTTCGGCAAGTAAGCAGAGTGGAAAAATTTTTACGTTTTATCAGTAGTGTTTGAACAATTTACACAAATTTTTTTTTTTGATTTTTGGAAGAACAATCAATTAGTGAATTGCTTTTTTTGTACATTAGTAATTTGAAAGGTTCTGACGTTCAAATTTATAATGGGAACAGAAGATCA